TAAGTAGAAACTTGGATTATTCGCAGACCTACAAATGTTTGACGAGTCAATGTCTTTTGAAATTTATGTAATTGAATAGTTAAAATTCACAAACATTGTTATCATTTTTACTTTTGTTAATAACCGGCTGATTTCTAATAATCTGTTTTCTACCCAATAAATGGGCCCCAACTCATTAATCTGCACATCCTTACTTAGGTTTAGATTTATCATGGCTTAAGGTTGGTATCAAGTTTTGTTTTTCTTATTTTATTTATTTTTGATTAGGTTTCCGTTTTTTTTCCCCCTCTTCTTTTTCTGCTAGTACGGTGGATGATGTTGCGTTCCTTGGCTTTTAGAATGTCTTTAATAAAGTACTACTCAACTCAAGGTTTATTGTAAAGTTATATTTCTAGTAGTGGTTTGGTAAAGAATGGCTATAAATGCCAAGTTCTTGATTAGAAGAATATAGTTATGGGTCCTTTAATAATGTGATTTGAGACATTTGTCATATTTACGTTAATGAGCTATATGCCTACAGTACGATGTTATTCAATTTTGCTGACTTTAGCTATTAAGATGTTAGTTATAATAATACTTGAGGCAATTAATAAGTAACATAGAAAACTTGTTTTGATACTGAAAGGCCCGGCATGGCCAGGTAGTTAGGGCGCTCGACTCTCAAACTGAGGGTCGCGGGTTCGAATCCCCGTCCCACCAAACATGCTCGCCCCTTTCAGCCGTGGGGGCGTTATAATGTGACGGTCAATCCCACTATTCGTTGATTAGGTTATAAAATTTTAATGTTCTGGTTCGTAACAATCTGTTCCAAACATAAATGTTTGACATGGAGTGTTAAAACTGTTTTTCTGTTCAAGCACCTGTGAATGTCCAAGTCCAATAGGCTTCATACAAAATACACTTGATCAGCATAAAGCCATGTTCCACCACTGTGTCATTGCTTAGTGACGACCACAGCTTATACAAATATTACTCGTAGAACACGCGAGTCTTCCACCATTGTCTGGGTGTTAATGAAAATGTAGTCCAGTTCTGGTGAAGAAAGAATGAAGTGAAATTTTAAGTTCCAACATAAATAAATTAACTTAGGTTAGCACCATAAAAGTGCTGTCTTCTAGTTTGTTAGTTTCATATTACCTTTGTTTTGATGCTTTGATGCAAGCAAAGTCCAATTTGAAGCAAGTACATAGCAGTACCACACGGATGTTACTTATTGCATCAGCTCGTACAGTCCAGTCCACACTAGCATGTGATCTAACTGAAACTTCTACCAAAGTAGAAATGTTAGAAAATATTTAGTAAAACTGTATATTTCACTCTACATGATTGAATATGTTAGACTAGCTAATGCCGGTGGTACGCGGAAAAAAAAATTGAAAATTATAGAATTTGTAATTAGCCCAAATGCAACTTTCCTCGTGTGTATTCACGCTACTCTCCTCACTTCTAGACTCGTTCTCCGCCTGGATAGACTCGCCAGTGTTTTCTTCTCTTCAAATGGACAAAAATCTTCAATTGTGCCAGAAAAACAATCCCATTCTCCTCATTAATCGGTAAGTATTAAAAATGACATATTTGCTGCTAGATTTTTTTTCTCTTCTGTTTTTTAATTCCTGGGCTTATACTAAAAACAACAACAACAAACGTTTAAACAAAAAATGGCTTGCTATCCTGAAAAGGTTTGTTTTGGTCAAGCCATTATGTTCATAAATAGATGAAACTATCTGTAGGAAGTAAAATCCGCTGATGGTGGCTTATACGTGACCCATCCTGAAAAGGTTTGTTTTGGTGTCAGGTATAAGCCACCATCAGCGGATTTTACTTCCTACAGATAGTTTCATCTATTTATGAACATATCAAATTCAGCCACTAGAATATAATATTCAGGAATATTGCTGAAATCACGCGGTATCATTGTTTTGTCTCTCTAATGTCCTGTAAGCTTAATGTGCCCTTTTTTTCTTATGTGTTTCAAAAGTGGACTATCTCATGAATAGTAGTTTCCAAATCCGAACCTATTCTTTCACAAGAAAAAATGAAAACAACAGGTACACTGTACCTTCCTGTAATGCGGTACAAGCCAATAACCACAGTTTCGGTTTGTGTATCATCATATTGATACTTTATTCTTTATTTTTATTCACTTGTTTACCAACAGATATATTCTCTGTTTGATTAATTCATACATAGGATATAACATTCATGTACGGTTTTCTATGTAATGTCCAGATATGTGTGCAACACACATACAATCATGTGTAATGCTCTATCCTACGTATTTGTAATGATATTAATGACATATTTTTACTCTTCCCTGCCCCCCAGTAGCACAGAGGTATGTCTACGGACTTACAGCGCTAGTAACCGGGTTTCGATACCCGTGGTGGGCAGAGCACAGATAGCCCTTGTGTAGCTTTGTGCATAATTAAAAACAAACAAAACAAATACTCTTCCCCAGTTAGCAAAGAATATCTTTATTCAGGTATTTTCTTAACTTCCACGTAAGTTTTCTACATGCTTTTAACATAATTATGCTAAATTGGATGTCCAAATGTAATAAATATGCATTAATAATCTTCCTTAGACAAAGGTTACATCCAGGCTTATAATAGCTTGACCAAGGGGCTTTGTCTACTCCTCGAGATGGGGTATGCCCATCTCAAAGGATGATACATATCTTGTACAAGTTGAGTTGGGTGGGTCTCTCCCGTGTATATGATTATTTCAGTTATTTGGGATAGTTGTTGATGTAAGTAATCCAGGGAATTTTAGGATTCCACACTAGAATCTCTGTCTGACATGATTCTATCTCTTTCACACCAGCTATTACTTTGATCTTTTCTTCATCTTCAGGAGCCAGTAAAAGTCATGTACTGTGGTGTAATGCTAAATAAAGAAGTGAGGGAACACGTTTTGAATGTGTTACTATGATTAGTATTTATTACGTCACCAATACATAAAAACACATATTTCAGAAATAGTAGCTGTAAATTGTAATTGAAATCTACATTTGAAAATGTTACAATAAAAAAATAATGTTCTCTCACCTTGAACTTTTAAATTCCTGGATAACTTATTAACAGAACTTCCAAACTTGGTCTACAGTGAGTTCCTTGGACTTGACTACTCTTGTTCATTTAATTGTTGCTGAACGATGACACTTAAACCATTTGTATCCATAGTCGTCTGGTTTCCAGTTTTGAATCGGAGCGCTGTGAAGCTAATGAACATGAGGTTTGTCACATGGTTGACTAACAGCCTAGACCTCGTTTCCGTAGTGATAAGGTTCATGCTTCTAAAGCTTCGTTCGCATTTGGAAGAACTCCATGGGATGACTTTTGAACACCCGATTAAAGGACTCAAATCTGATGAAATATGGCGCCCACAGTTGTCTAGAAAGACTCTGTATGCTGGGGTTGTTTTTGAAAATGGCAATCTGAAACGTTTACAAAGGGACTCTATTTCTCTTTCTCCAAAGCCTGGATTTATCTCTGCTAGCCACTCATTGACTTCTAAGGTACGGAGCTCAGAAATTATGTTTGGAATGAAATTATAAGTGCCTGGCTGTGACCCAGTTGGTTCATGAGAAGAAGTTGGTGTGAATAACGTTGTTTTATATTGTTTATGATACTGGTTAAAAATTGACCATGATTGATTGAAACAATCTTATTGTTCTCTGTCAGTGTTATTAATAAAACTTCATTTCCTTAATGGTATTCTCTGCTTCTAAGGCCTTTTTACCCTTATGTTTCATCATTGCTTCTAAAAACCGTATACTGCGACGAATTAACTTGTCTGCATAAACTATAGTAATATCCATTTTCTGTAAGGCTTCTATAGTGCTTAACAGGAAGGCTAAGTTAGAAATATTAGCTAAACCAAAATGGGCCGTATTTATATTACTGAAAACTAAGCATTTATTAGTTACTGTATAAGTATGGTTAAATAGGAAACGGGATGTTTATAAGCTCTTGTACACTTTTACACCTATACCGCTAAATTCCGGGAGGTAACTAACATTCAGATATCTAACAAGCTTATTGGATGAGCCATATCGTAAATATTTTCTCTACTTTTAATAGTACTTTAGACAATGCTTGTTGCAATTACTGTACTACAAACAAGCCGATAAACCATATCCAACTGTGTTTTCGAAGCAGGGGAAAAGTCTAATGCCTAGAGTGGTGATTCATTGCTTTGTTTTCGAAAGGTTTCTACTTCAGTCGCTAACAGTAAAATAAACATAGGAATTATGTGTGGAAAAGATTGAAAGTAGAAATTCTCAGGAGATTTACTTTGTAATTTCGTAATTCATACTCAAAAGTCGAGTTTCTAAGTCAGTTGCTTACAATATAATAAGTACAGAAAATAAGTGTGAAAAGGTGAGAAGTATAAACTCTGACCATAAATTGTTTGGAACTTTGTAATCAAATTAACAGAACTACATATTTTATTTGCAATCTTTTATTTCATTATACTTTGATAACCTGCCTACAACCTGGATAAAAGGGTTAATGATTCTTTCTTCTGGAGGTGGGCAAAACGAAGTTTGGGATTTGTAAGGTCGGATTCGTTGGAAATAGTGAGGTAACGGCGTTCCGGCAAAACGAAAGGCAAGGTAACGCCTTTCCCATGCATTCCCACACCACTGACTGTGAATAATATAAAAAAAAAATTGGGCCAATCAACTGAACAGCTTTCACTCTTTTTGCACAAATAAGATTTTTTCATTTGTACAAATGTTTATTTTTATTTTTTGCTGTTCATATTCATTTTAATACTCTGCATAAAGTTTCCAAAACCTTCATTTTGCAAATATTTGATTACTGCATACCAACATCATACTGATATCTGACAAACTGCCTGAGGACTCTAATAGGGCAAATATCGCAACCTGAACACTCACTTCCACCGGCTGTCTCAATAATCATGCTACGATACTGCCATCTATGAGTTAATAAGTTTAGCGTCCTCTCTCAGCATTATGAAATAAATAATTGCAGACAGAATTCAAACAAACTAATACTTCTCATCTAAAATTAAATTAATTTATCTAGTGTGGGTTAATATTCAAGACATCAACTACAGTATACATCATTAGATACTCTGACTGATATAGGCTAAGTACAAAATTATAAAGTAAAATACATTTACTATCACTGTATCGTACCGACATATGCGGGTCGATTTACTCAACAAGTCAGCATCACGGAAACTAAACAGAGGAAAAGCCTAATGATACAAGGACCTTTCTACCGATTTCTTACAACCCGATTCATTTTCTGTGCTGATTAATAAAAAAAAATATCCTCCACTATAAAAGTTAAAATCATGTACAGGCCTGATACGCTTATGTGAACTTTTCGTGAGGCCTGGCATCGCCTGGTGGTTAGGGCACTCGACTTGCAATTTGTTGATAGCGGGTTCGAGTCTTTGTCAGCGAACATACTCGCCCTTTCAGCCGTGGGGGCTTGATAATGTTACAATCAATCCCACTATTTGTTGATAAAATAAGTAGTCCAAGAGTTGGCGGTGGGCGGTGTTGACTAGTTGCCTTCCCTCTAGTCTTTCACTGATAAATTAGGGACGGCTAGCGCAGATAGCCCCCTTGTAGCTTTGCGCGAAATTCAAAAAACAAACATTTTCATGCACACAAGCAATCTGTGATCGTTTCTCACATAAAAATCCTGCCAACCTTCATAAGAGGTCCGACATGGCCAGTTGGTAAGGGCGCTTGACTCGCAATCTGAGGGTCGCGGGTTTGAATCCCAGTCCCAGCAAACATGCTCGCCCTTTCAGCCGTGGGGGGCGTTATAATGTGACGGTCAATCCCACTATTCGTTGGTAAAA